CGGGGGCCCTGAGGGGCCGGGGGGGGCATCGGGCTCTCTGAGCGAACCGGGGGCTCGGCGGCGCCCCCCTGTCTCCGTGGGGCTGCCGGCACCCCGCGAGCGGCCGGCGGGCTCCCCCCGTACAGCTGGTCCCGTGAGGCGGGCCCCTGAGCGGCGCCGGGCCTGAGGGCCTTCCCCGCGGGGAGGGGGCGGGCGGCCTGTAGCCGCGAGGGGAGATGAGAGGCAGGAGCCTGCAGCGCGGCTGCACTGCTCTGTGCCCACAGCGCTCAGCATGGAGGCTCTCCGGAGACGTTTTGGCTCCCGTTGAAGCCTTGGGGGAAGAGGCTGGGGAGCAGTGAGGGCGGGTAATGGGCTGCTGGGCCCTGGTGGTACCACTACAGAACAAGGCGCTGGGCCTGGCGTGTGATACCCTGCCTAAAGTACGGTGCTGGTGGTTAGAAGTTGGCCTGGGGAATTGCAAGCCCATAACCCAGAGGAGTAGGAGATAGAATAAGGAAGAGAGGATTGAATATGTGGATGGCGGGATGTTGAGCTTCTGGAGTACTGTGCCCAGTTCTGGGCTCTGCAGTTCAAGGACAGGGAATTGCTGGAGAAGGGACAGCAAAGGGCTATGGAGATTATGAGGGGCCTGGAGCATCTCTCTAATGAGGAGAGGCTGAGGGGCTTGGGTCTTTTTTGTGTGGAGAAAAGAAGACTGAGGGGGTATCTGATAAATACTTATGTCAAGAGGATGGGGCCAGTCTTTTTTCAGTGGTGCCCAATGACAGGACAAGAGGAAATGGGCACAAACTTGAACATAAGACGCTCCACCTAAACATGAGGAGGAACTTCTTTCCTGTGAGGGTGGCAGAGCCCTGGCAGAGGCTGCCCAGGGAGGTGGTGGGGTCTCCTTCTCTGGAGACATTCAAACCCCACCTGGACACGTTCCTGTGCAACCTGCTCTGGGTGGACCTGCTTTGGGCAGGGGTTTTGACTGGATGATCTCCAGAGGTCCCTTCCAGCCCCACAGCATTCTGTGATTCTGTGAGCTGCCCGTGGCGAGGCTCTGGGGGGGCTTGTGATGAGCAGCGTGGCCGTAAGGGAAAGGCAGCAGCAGTCACCTGGGCAAAGACGAGGAGATTGGAGAACCAGGCAGTGCGAGTAAGCTGTGTGATTCAGTCCCACAGCGCTTGGTAGTCACTGAGCCTTCAAGTGGGCTGAGAAACCAAGCAGCTTACTGGAGGGGAACTTCTTGAGACCTTTCAGATGCCAGCCCTGCCAGTCAGACTTTTCTGGGGAAGTCTCACACCTACTCACCCTTTCTCACGCTGGTGGTCACAACACATGGAAGAGTGCAGGCGAGGCTGCAGGCAGGAGCAGAGCAGGCTCCCAAGTGACAGACATGGCAGCCCAAGGTGCGATGTCCCCAGCAAGCTTGTGGGCACCGGGATCTGACAGGCAGCCCTCGGCCTGGGCTTCCTGGTTCCCAGCAC